TAGGGTTTTAGGATTTAGGGCTTATAGGGTTTAGGGTTTAGGATTTAGGGTTTTAGGGTTTAGGGTTTAGGATTAGGGTTTGAGTGTTTATCCCTAAACCCTATAAACCCTACAAGCCTTTTCACCCTTAACCCTGAACTCTTTGAGGTTCGTAAGGGCTTAAGTGGTTCAAAGTTCAGATCGGAAGCCTCGCCGTTTTCGGCTTTAGGGAAGACATGATCCCTGAAGCCCCAGACCCTGAATCCCAAAGACGAAAAGCCCCCAAAAAAGCCTGAAGTCAAGCAATAAACTCAATAAACCACCAAAAGGGGTTTAGGGTTTAGGGGTTAGGGTTTAAAGCATCTTAAACCACGAAGCCCCAAATCCCCATCCCCTTCCCCTAAACCCTGAACCCTAAACCCCCCGAACTACAAAGACCTAAACCTAAGTAGCTAAACCCGGAACCCTGGGGGTGTCCTACCAGGGCCGGGATCCTAAATTTCCAGGGCCTGCGGTGCTGGATACAAAGCTGGTTTTGGGTTTAGGGTGTGGGTTTAGGGTTTATAGGTCGTCTCAATATCTAGACTGCATTCTGAAATCCCACTTCATGATATGAAGAAAGCAGTCCGAGCAGCGCTGTGGCGGAGAAACCTATGTAGATTGCGAAACTGATGCATCTCGTCATTCCTGCCAGGTTTAGAGTTCAGGGTATACGGCTTAGGGTTTAGGGTTTAGGGAAACCTTCATCCAAAAGTCCCAAAAATAATCTTGGCGTATTCAATAGCTAGAGTAGGGGTTTGGGGGTACGTGAACGACGTATACTTGTAGTGAGCAGCCCTAAAGAAGATGTATTCAGGCAGTCCAGGCACCCAGAATTCTGACTGGCGTGGGGCTTGCGGCTTATATAATTTGGGTTTTGCATATAATGTAGGGACCTTGACAATTAGAGTAGGGTGTTGAGAGGTTCCTCATTATAGTTATATAATACAAGATACTAAGGCCCTTATTAGATTAGTTTAGGCTCTAGGGCCTCTACGCGCTCGCCAAAGTCGCAGCCCGAGCCTGCATTTTCTGAAGGGGTCTTGCGGGAAAATCCCCACATCGATAGTTCTCTAAATAGGGTCCCTGTTTAGGTCCCCAATATAGTACGGCACCCTTATAAATAGGAGCCCAAAAAGGGACCTAACTTACAGAACTACCCAAATCCTAAACCCTCAACCTTAAACCCGAAACCCTAAACTAAAGTGTGTAAACCCTCAACTTTAAACCCCAAACCCTAGAGCCTAAACCCCAAACCCGAACCCCTCAACTTTAAACCCCAAACCTTAGAGCCTAAACCCTCAACCCAAAACCCTCAACTTTCAACCCCAAACCCTAAAGCCTAAATCCTGACCTGGGGTGTAAGGATCCCTGTCAAGGAACACGGCGATGCTTAGAGAAGGAGTCGTTGGATCTTCAGGCCATGCCCAGGGGGCGCCCGCATGAAGTCTTGAAAGCGGTGTTTAGGGCTTAGGGTTTAGGGTTTAGGGTTTAGGGTTTAGGGTTTAGGGTTTAGGGTTTAGGGTTTAGGGTTCAGGGTTTAGAGCTCAGGGTTTCCGTATACAACCCCGACAGAATGCGTACAGATCCCTTTTCTTAATAGAACCCCTTTATAGCCTCTGCAGAACCCCTCTAGAATTCCGAAAGGATCGAAAGTCGTTTTCTGCTCTTACCTATAGTATCCATTGTAGCTCCTTTTTGGGGATGCCTTTTAAAATCCTTAATATATAATTGGTTAAACCATAAAAAGGAACTACAATGGACACTACAGGTAGGTCTCAGGTTGCAGCCCAGGGTCAGCCCACACGATACCCTGAGCCCCGCAGCCCGAAATCCCTAAACCCAACATCCCAAACCCCAAACCCCAAACCCCAAACCCCAAACCCTAAATCCTAAAAGCCTTAAGCCCTAACCCTAAACCCTAAACCCTAAACCCTAAACCCTAAACCCTAAACCCTAAAAGCCCTAACCCTAAACCCTAAACCCTCAAACCCTAAGCCCGAATCCTAGACCCAAAGAGCCTCAACCAGAAACTTTACACTCCGGCCGCCCAGGGCCTCTTCTTATCCAAGGTGGTCATCAGAGATGTGATGGTACTCACCTGTGGGGTTTAGGGTTTAGGGTTTGGGGTTTGGGGTTTAGGGTTTAGGGTTTAGGGCCTAGGGCCTAGGGTTTAGGGTTTAGGGCCTAGGGTTTAGGGTTTGGGGTTATAGGGGTATAGGGTTTAGGGTTACAGCCCTAAACCCTAAACCCCTAAACCCATTAGGGTTTTCATGGCCCCGGCTCCAAATTCCACAGCTTCCAGCTCCGAAATCCCGGGTGTCTGTGAAGGCTTTGGGGTTTAGGGCTCCGGCTCTTCCAGAAGGGCTTCGAGACAGGCTTTTTTTGTTGAGGGTTTCTAGAATTTGCCCTATAAAGGCTCGATAAGGGTTCTGTGATCTAGGGTCCTTACTAGATAGAAGAGGGGTCACTGACGGGTTCTGTGAAGGGTTCTAGAACGTTAAGTGTCTTCGGGTCCCCCCGAAAACTCGAAACGCGAAGTCTCGTAGTTGAAAAGACCGAAAGAACTCTTGCGCAATTAAGGGTTTGACGCTCAAACCCAAACACTAAACCGTTACCCTAAACCCTAAACCCTAAACCCTAAACCCCTAGATCCTAAACCCTAAACAAACAAATCACCGAGAAAGCAAGATAAAGCAAGGCTGCTGCGTGGTCGCCTTGCCTCGCGGCCCTTCAACCCCACAAGAAGGATTCACTTAGAGTGGTTTCGGGCTTAGGGTTTAGGGTTTAGGGTTTAGGGTTTAGGGTTTCGGGTTTAGGGTTTAGGGAAGCCTCAGAAAGTGTGATCAAACAGCCTAGTCAAGACAAGGCCAGTCGCCAGCGTCGCTGTGGTGATAAGTGAGAGGACAGCCACGCAGATGCAGAACCTGAGCGTGAGGATCAAAATAGAGCAATACCTATAGTCTCCATTGTACTTCCTTTTTGGGGATGCCTTATAAAAAAAAAACCTGATATATAATTGGTTAAACAAAAAAGGAACCACAATGGAGACTACAGGTAAAGTATGGTACCCCAGCTTTAGCCGAAACTGCAAAGAGCCGAGAAGCTGGCCCCTGACTGCTTTACAGCGAGGATCATATTTACGCGGGCTTTGGGAAATTTCTCGAGACCTTTAGGGTTTAGGGTTCAGGCTTTAGGAAAATTTCCCGAAACCCCGAATGGCCTTTTCTGTGGTCCTCTTCATACGCCCTTACGCCACAGAACTAGTTTATCCATGAACTCGAAACCTGGATTCCGGTTTAGAGTTCATGGTATCGGGACAACTTAATTCAGGGTAGTGTAGGGGTCTTAATAATTAGAACAGGGTTTTGGGCCCCTTCATAGTAAATTTATAATAAGGAGCCATAAGCAATAATATTCGTTATTTGGGCTTCTAGATTTGAATACTGAAGTCCCTGCTTCCATCTAAAGGTCGGTGCCATAGATGTAACCCTGGTACATGACCCTCTGTTTGGTACCTTTATCGGCCTGACTTTGTCGGAAGTTCACAACAAAGAATGCCCGCTAATTTACAGGAACCTTCATCTGAGGCCCTTGACTGTCAGGGTATCCACAACGTTTAGGGAAAGCTGATGCCAGGCTTGAGTGACTCGACTAAGTCTGCTTGGGTGCTTCTGTATCTATGTATCCTGGCGCCCCAAGGAATAAGGGTGCGATAGTACTCCCTTGTCTAAAATGTCTTCATTCGCTTCATTCTGTTCGCTTCGAGGTGGGGGTTGTAAGGTCGACGGTGCGTGATGCTCTGATGCAGGCGGTTTAGGTTTCTAGGGTCTAGGTTATAGGGCCAAGGCTTGTAGGGTTTAGGGTGTTAAGGCTTCAAAGCGTTTGGGTGTTGGGGGGGTTTGGGGTTTACACTCGGGTTTCGAAGATTTAAACTGGCTAGTAGGCACCTTACCCTAAGGGTCTATGTACCCAAATAGTAGATACTTGGGCCCTAAAGTAGTCCCTATATAGGTACTTTGGGGCCGAAGTATATACTATTTAGGTACTTGGACCCTTAGGGTTACTTGGCAGTCCCGACAGACGGTTGGGCGCGGCCATGGTGCGCTGCACCATAACTCAACCCTAAGTGCTAGAGTCCAAAGCCCCGAATCCTACATCCTAAACCCCTCCCTTAACCCCTCAGAACGTCCTTTTTTTAAGGGTGTAAAGGAAGAGACTAGAATAAGGAGCCCTACAAAGGGGATTCTTTGAGGTCCAGCTAAACCCTAAACCGTTAACCCAAGACCCTTAAACCCTAAACCCTCAAGCCTTAACCCTAAAACCTTCACCCTGAACCTCCAAGGCCTAAACGTCCGAAGCTCTGCTTGTCTCACGATGCTTACAGGGCACGCCCTTTCTGGCACATTGTACGCTTCGATCTCGACATTTCCGACGCCGAGCTGTGCAAACGCCCAGTGAAGGCAGGTAGTGTACTGGTACCAGACCTCGGAACTGATCCCGAAAGCCTAAACCCTAAACCCCTAAACCCTAAACCCTAAACCCTAAACCCCTAAACCCTAAACCCTAAACCCCTAAACCCTAAACCCCTAAACCCTAAACCCTGACTGAACCAAGAGGATTCAAGGATTGAGGCTTGGTTTCCCTAAACCCTAGGACTTTCAGGGCTTTAGAGATGACCAATGCTCGGCATCGTGGTCAATAGCAGCGGAGAGATTCGAACCTTTAGGGTCTAATAGGGTTTAGGGGTTTAGGGTTTAGACGGGTTTAGGGTTTATAGGGTTTATAGGGTTTATAGGGTTTATAGGGTTTAGGGTTTAGGGTTCCAAAACCCCTCAAGCCATCTTTAAATACAACCGCCTACAGCCCGCTACAGTAAAGCGCTGCACCCCGAAGCGTGGCCTTCAGGACTCTACAACCGCTTCGGGCTTCTTGGGCTCATGGGTTTAGGGTTTAGGGTTCAGGGTTTAGGGTTGCAGAGGCCCGGGACAATCCCAACCCCAAAACCCGAACCCAAGATTCTGGAAGGACATCTGGCTGGGTAGATCAGGAGTCTAGGGACAATAGATGAGGGATTAGGGTGAGGTGCGCGAGGAGGGGTATCCTCAAATCTGCAGGCTGAGATGTCTTAACCCTGCACAAGTGAAGGCAGCCACGTTAGAGCCTGATTTCCCAAAAAAAGAAACCCTGAACCTTGTTTATCTTGCTACATATATATATATATATATATTCAGACAGGTATACTTTACACATCGGATACAGCAGTTACAGCAGACCTACTCTCTGCTGCTTAACGGTGTGGGAGACCTCAAGGCGGCAAAGAGACCCGCCACCTCGCGCTCACATCGGGGAATAAGGTTACATCTTGAACATGGGCCTTCTTTAGGGTTTCCGGGTTTAGGGTTTAGGGTTTTGGGCTGAGTACCCTAGCCCAGAAAAGGTGAACCTTTTCAATTATAGTAGGATTATAAGAGCCCCAAAAGGTTAAAGGTTGCCTACTCAGCCACTAAGTCTTTAGAGTTTCCGGGACCCGGATTAGTGCCTCGGCGTCCAGAGGGTTGCCACTTGTTCGTGAGCAAGCTCTAAACCCTGATATAATTAAGGGTTCAGAGTTTAGGGGTTTAGGGGTTTAGGGTTTAGGGGTTTAGGGTTTAGGGTTTATAGGGTTTGGACTCGAACACCTTGCCCAGCGGCGTCTTGTTGCTGCAGTCCGGACATAGACAGCCACGTGGCTCCAGTCATGTTCAAGTACCCAACTCCGAACCTGAGAGCCGGGAGGCTTGCGAGCTCAGGCTTCCCGGAAAAGGGTTTAGGGTTGAGGGTTGAGGGGTTTAGGGTTTAGGGTTTAGGGGTTTAGGGTTTAGGGTTTAGGGTTTAGGGGTTTAGGGTTTAGGGTTTAGGGGTTTAGGGTTTAGGGTCAGCACAATGGTCTTT